CGTCATCATCAACATCATCACCATCCTCATCTTCTTCATCATCATAATGATCATCAGCATCGTCATCATCATCATCACCACCACGACCATCATCATGATCACCAGCACCATCATCATCATCATCATCATCATCATCATCATCATCATCATCATCGTCATCGTCATCATCATCATCATCATCATCATCATGATCGTCATCGTCGTCGTCATCATCGTCATCATCGTCATCATTGTCATCATTGTCTTCATTGTCATCGTTGTCATCATTGTCATAATCACCCTCGCTCTCCGTCCCTCCTCCCTCTCCTCGTCATCCTCCACCTCGCCATCCCCCTGAACCCCACCTCGGGTAGCCTCCAGCCTCGGCCCCGCAGGCTGCGAGGTGCGCGCTCACACCCCCGCGCCCTCCGGAGGCGACACCGCGCCGACGATGGTGATGGATCCCTCGCGCTCGGGGTTCCTGCCCTTCTCCCAGCAGGTTGTCATTCGGAGGGGGGAGATGGGAGCGGACAGCATGATGGAACCTCCAGCCGCCTCAACCTGCCGCACGACAGGAACGCATGCGCTACACGTGCCTCGAGGCACGAAGTGGAGGTACCCCCAGGCCCCAAGACGGTCCAAGAGGGCTCCAAAACGGCACAAGGGGCGCCCAAGATCGCCGAAGGGGGCCCCAAGACGACCCCAAGAGGGGCCCCCTCTGAACACGAACCGACAATTCGAGCCTTCCGCCCCAGGTGGCCCCCAGGAGGCCCCAAGAGGCCCCAAAGAGAGCCTACGGGGGGGCCCCCTCGAGGCCCGCCCCCAAGAGGCCCCAAAAGAGGCCCCAAGAGGCCCCCAAACGGCACCCAAGAGGCCTCAAGACTGCCTCCAAGAGGCCCCCGAGAGGCCTCCCACGAGATCCAAACGAACATCCAAGAGGCCTCTAACACACAACGGTGGTGGCATGGGCCGAAGACCACTGTATAAACTCTCCAGCGGCCCGGAGGGCATGCGTCCCCGACGGCGAGAAAGTTTGCGCTGTGCCGCTCTTCGCCCGTGAACCGAGGCACGGCCGCGGGACACGGGCACGGGCCAGCTCGTGATACGGCGCGGACCCCTGCCCATCACAGGAGAAGCGGGCCGCTCCAGCAGCCACCACGGGGCCCCGGCAGGCCCGCTGTGCCCGCGGAGCGGCACGCGCGGCCACCCTGCCACTCGGCGGCTCGTCGGCAGCCAGCCACTGCAGCCACTCCCCGAGCCCCCGTGCGCCCGGCGCGTGCCCGCCCTCCTCGCGCCGAGGGCGCACCCGGAGCCGCGAGGCCCCGCCGCCGCCGCCTCGCCCGCGCACCTCTGGCCCGACGTCTTCGGGACTCGCAGGGGCCTCTCGCCCCGTGCGGCCCCGGCCCGCCAGCCCACGTCCAGGGCGCGCGCCCGCCGGGCTCGAGGAGGCCAAGGGCCCCGCAGACCAGCTGTCTGACGGTGACGCCGTGCATGGCGTCTTCGAGGACGACCGCGCACGGCCTCCGCCCCGACTTCCAACCCGACCTGCCTCTCGGCTCGGAGGAGGTCATGGAGGCCTGGAAAATTACGATGCTGAAGTGCTTCGTCACTGCACGGCGCTCTGCATGGCTAAGTGAGAAGGGGATGCGCCACAGTGCAAAGGGGCTCTGCCCTCACATCATGAGGTCGCAGGCCCGCAGGGATTGGCAGAACTGATCGCCTGCATACCCCTGGACTCTGATACGCCCAACTTCTCTATCTTCCTCCATCGGGAGCGTCAAGAGGGGAGCGTCCAAGAGGGGGGCGCGAATCATGGCCAGCGTCATGTGCGCGGCCCGGGAGGGGGAGGCCGGGCACGCATTGAAAATAAGAAGAGACGCCATGAAACCTGGGAAGATAGCATGGCCCCCGCCATGATATTACCCCCCTCGTTATCACCCCTCTTTTGGCCGCCCCCGACTCCAGTGGATTCAGCCCCACAGCCCGTACAAGCGCGCGGAGCTCGGGGCCCCATACCCAGACATGCGAAGTCCTGATCTTTTCGGTAAAGGGTCCTGGAAGTCCCGACCCTTTCCCTGGGACCGGTTTTTTGGCGGTGCGCAAAAGGGGGTGCAGGGAAGGGGGGAGGGCTTCTTAGAAGGAGGCTGCTTCTCAGAAGGCGCCAGCCGTACATCTATAGATAAGGCCCGCGCCTTCTAAGATGCAGGGGTGCTTCCAAGAGGCCCCCCCTCCCCCCACCCCCCTGCTGCCTGCTGCGCGTGGCTGAGCCTTTCATCCTGAGCCGCTGTTGGACGGCCCCGGGGCCCCGCAGGGGCCCCCAGAGGCCCCGAGACGATGGCAAAACCTCCCGTGCCGCCTTGTTGCCACGACGCGGGCAGGTCCGAGCACGCCCGCAGCCGCGCGCGCGGAGCGAGCGCGGGGCCCCGCGGGAGCCACGCCCGCCCCCACGGTGTGCGCCGGGCGGCCGCTCCCGTCGCCGACCCCAGCCGGGCCTGCCCAGAACATGGCGCCGGCTCCTCCT